TTTTTTAAACACTTTGTCAGCATTTCCTTCTTTGTCAAACTCAGTTATAAAACAGTTCAAGGAACTGTCAAATTAGTTCCTGCATGTTCAGTTATAAAAGCTTTGATTACTTTATAATTACTATTAAAAGTCCTACACTCATATGTAGTTGCTGTTTTATGTTTCAGGACTTTGCCATTGAAGTAATCAAGAGCACTCACAACTTTTGGAAAGCCCTCATTTCCCAAAAGGCTAGCGCTGGTGAACTGAACTGGTAAACTCTGACTTTTATCAGCTGCTTTTAGAAGAAATGCAAACTTGCAGCCAATAATTTCTTGAATATAAGTAGTCATACTTACTATAAATCTCTATATTATCAAACAAAACAGCAAAAATACATGTGTCTCAGCTGGCGACAGCCCTTTCTGCTGCTCTGCAGATGAGGCTACTGCTGCTGTTGGTGAGGTAAGACTTCTATCCCTGCCAGATTTTGCAATATAACATCAGAAATTTCAAATTTGGGTCTCTTTGATGGATGGATCTTTCTTTCTTTCTTTCTTTCTATTTTTTTTTTCTTTCTAAAGACATGCCCGTGTGGAAAAGAAGACCCTGTCCCCTCGTCAGGTAACATTTCATATAATTGTTATGATTCTGAGGTTGAGTGTTCAGATGTGAGATTTACACGGTTGTTTTCATTCGCAGTTGATAAATGGTTCTACTATGAGAGGAAGTAAAAGAGGACCTTCTTCAAGTGGACCAGGAGGAAAGCTCATCTCTCTCAGGAATATTTGAAGACCTACTTGGATTAGGAACCAATGGGATGATGGGTGGTGGGGTCTGGGTTTACCCATCTCCTTGTAGATGGAGAAGAATAGCGATACTATTGATCAATAGTAATGATACTGTAGAGAAAGAGAGCACTTATGTCATGACCAATGATTTTTCGCTTATTTAAAAAAAAGTAATCTCTTTGGAGATGTGCTGTAATGAACAAAGTGCTGGCACTGTGCCTAGTAGATGCGTGTGTCCTGTCTGAGACCGAACTGCTTTAATAAAGCTTCTGAACGTGAACGTGTGAGTTTGAGTGGAGTCATTAGTATTTAGTTTAGACCAGTGGTTCTCAAACTGTAGGGTGTTATAGTCACCTGATGATCATGGAAAGATGGAGCTGACACAATCAGTTTTTTAAAATTTTCATTTATTTATTTTTTAAGAGTACTGCTTTTTCTTTTCTTTTTCTTTTTTTTTTTTTAAATTGGGATCTGGCTTCTGAAGCGATGTAACAGAAAAGATTGAGAACGACTGGTTTAGAACATGGGCTTTATTGTTATTTATGTTTATATGCAATAACTGGGCATGCCACCACATCACATAGGTGCTCTATTGGATTGAAATCGGTTGATGGTGGAGTTAACTCGTTAACTCATTTTTGTGTTTAAGATTATTTGAACTTTGTGATGTGGTGGGTTATCCCGTTGGAAGCATCAGAAGATGGCAGCTTCCAACAGGGTACACCGTGGTCGTTAAAGGATGGATGTGGTCAGCTACAATATTCAGGTAGGCTGTGGTGTTTAAATGATGCTCAATTGGCATGAAATAGCTGCATCCTTTTTTTTACATCACAGCCAAAAGCCTGATGCTTTGACACCAGGGAGAACAGATCCATGCTTTCATATTTATGCCAAATTGTAACCCTAAAATCCAAATGTTGCAGCAGAAATTGAGGTAGAAAGCAAAGTAAAAGCCCAAACTTACAGTGGCTTGCAAAAGTCTTCGGCCCCTTTGAACTTTCCACATTTTGTCACATTGCAGCCACAAACATGAATCAATTTTGTTGGAATTCCACGTGAAAGACCAACACAAAGTGCTGTGCACGTGAGAAGTGGAACAAAAATCATACATGATTCCAAACATTTTTTTACAAATAAATAACTGCAAAGTGTAGTGTGCGTAATTATTCAGCCCCCTTTGGTCTCAGTGCAGTCAGTTGCCCATAGACATTGTCTGATGAGTGCTAATGACTAAGTAGAGTGCACCTATGTGTAATCTAATGTTAGTACAAATACAGCTGCTCTGTGACGGCCTCAGGTTGTCTAAGAGAATACTGGGAGCAGCAACACCATGAAGTCCCAAGAACACACCAGACAGGTCAGGGAAAAAGTTATTGAGAAATTTAAAGCAGGCTTAGGCTACAAAAAGATTTCCCAAGCCTTGAACATCCCACGGAGCACTGTTCAAGCGATCATTCAGAAATGGAAGGAGTATGGCACAACTGTAAACCTACCAAGACAAGGCCGTCCACCTAAACTCACAGGCCGAACAAGGAGAGCGCTGATCAGAAATGCAGCCAAGAGGCCCATGGTGACTCTGGACGAGCTGCAGAGATCTACAGCTCAGGTGGGGGAATCTGTCCATAGGACAACTATTAGTCGTGCACTGCACAAAGTTGGCCTTTATGGAAGAGTGGCAAGAAGAAAGCCATTGTTAACAGAAAACCAGAAGAAGTCCCGTTTGCAGTTTGCCACAAGCCATGTGGGGACACAGCAAACATGTGGAAGAAGCTGCTCTGGTCAGATGAGACCAAAATGGAACTTTTGCCACACCTCCAAGGACATGCGGCGTGCAGCTCGGATCTCAGCTGACCCTTCTCACCCTGGACACAGTCTGTTTGACCTGCTCCCCTCAGGCAGGAGGCTCCGGTCCATTCGCACCAGAACCTCTCGCCATAAGAACAGTTTCTTCCCCTCTGCTGTTGGACACATGAACAATAACTGTATGACTGTTCCCACCACTAACACATGACCCTACGCTGTGTTCACTGCATCATTCCATGTTTGGCACTGATCACCACCTGCACTCATGTATATATCTATCTACTTAGCACTTTTAATTCTTATTCTTATTTTTATTTATTTATTTTTTTTTTCATGTCTATTTAAGCGTAATTTATGACAGTATGTTTGCACTGAAGCACCGCAGCAATTTCCTAATGTTGTAAACCTGCTCAACATTTGGCAATAAAACCCTTTCTGATTCTGATTCTGATTCTGATTCTGAAAGCTGCCAAATCTTGTGATTCAATTCGCAGGAGAATGGTAGTTGTGGGAAGATGGATGAGCCAAATACAGGGCATCTTGAGAAAACCTCTTGGGTTGCAAAGACTTGAGACCTGGGCGAGGTTACCTTCCAGAGGACAACGACCCTAAACATAAAGCCAGGAGCAACAATGGATGGTTTAAACAAAACATATCATGGTTTAGAATGGCCCAGTCAATCCAGATCTAATCCATCGAGATCTGTGCAAATCTGAAACTGCTGTCACAAAGCTGTCATTCTAATCTAACTGAGCTGGAGTGTTTTGCCAAAGAGAATGGGCAAGAATTCAGTCTTAACAGCAAATCTCCGCCTGTTAATTAACACTAGAGAGTGTCTATATGGTCCACTCCTCTGATGAAATAAAACTGTTGAGTGTTAATTAACACTTTTGACAGTGTTATATGTTTAAAAGTAACCTAGTCAGTTTTGAAGATTATCAATGGACAACACTGAGCAAACCAGTGCTGTATTTCTACACTGGAATACTAAACATGTTAGAAAGTATTCCAGTGTTAGAAAATCAGCACTGCTCAGTGTTAGCTTTGTTAATCTTCAAAACTGACTAGGTTACTTTTAAACATATAACACTGTCAAAAGTGTTAATTTAACACTCAACAGTGTTGTATTTAACACTCAGAGGTGTGGACCCATATAGACACTCTCTAGTGTTAATTTAACACTGGATGTGCAAAGCTGGTAGAGACATACCCTAAAAGACTGGCAGTTGTAATTGCAGCAAAAGGTGGTTGTACAAAGTATTTACTCAGGGGGCTGAATAATTACGCACACCACACTTTTCAGTTATTTATTTGTGAAAAATGTTTGGAATCATGTATAATTTTGGTTCCACTTCTCACGTGTACACCACTTTGTGTTGGTCTTCCACGTGGAATTCCAATACAATTGATTCATATTTGTGGCTGTAATGTGACAAAATGTGGAAAAGTCCAATTGGGCCGAATACTTTTGCAAGCCCCTGTACATGTACCGAACAAAATACCCAGTGAGTTTAAAAAAAAACAAAAAACAAAACTAAGTTGAATCAATATATTAGTTTTAAGGGAAATGACGTTTGCTGATACTTTGGAACTGGACTTATTTTGATTACTTTAATTTCTTTCATTTAAAAAAAATATTAGTGATTTTAAAAAGTGTTATTTGGCAAGAAAAAGTTTGAGAACTAGTTCAGAACAGACTAAACTCTCATGGTTGTAATGCTGCCACCTAGTGATCACAGCCCTCATCGCCTTCACTTTTTGCTTTAACTACTATATATTCTCTGAGAACCGAGGAAAAATGAATCTTCCCATTGAACTTTTTTGTAATTTTCCTTCCTCTTTAGCGTTAAAAGAGGCCACTCAAACACATGAGATATTAATGGAAAGCCCTCTATTTAGTACATCGGGACTTAGTAGGGTAGCTCAAATAAGTAAAAAGATATTGATCAAAAACAAATGTCCATTACAGAGGACATAAAATAATAAGCTGGTTCTATATATTAAATTTAGATCCCGAGGCCCAGTTTTTGTAGCCCAAAGTTATACTAAGAGGCGATTGTGTCTCCTTTATTTTTCTGTTCCTAGTAGGAAAACTGTATAATGTCTGGGTAATTTATTTTTTTTTAAATAGAATTAATTATTAAAATGTAATACTTGATACTATGTATGTCGGAAAGTTACACCGAAAATGTAGAAAGATAGTGGCATGACCAGTATCCCCCCCCCCCCCCAAACTAAAAGTAAACTACAGTCAGTAGTGTTAAAAAGCAAATTAAGTTCTAAGTTCTTAAAACACATTTTAAATTAATGTTTTCAGGACCGTTTGATGTGTACTTTTTAAAAAATTTTTTTTTATTGTTATTAAAAAACTAACAAACAAAAAACCCAGCATGCGCACTTCTTACCTTGGTGTGTTGGTAGCCATCCCGGTGACGTACTTCCGGTTAACTGTCAAAGTTGGAGGCTTTGAGAAGGAAAAAAAAACCAACAACGGACGAGTTCAGTTCACTAACACTGCTGACCAAGGTAACGCTGCAAATGATGTATTAAGTTGGCTTTGTTGGGGTTTAAACTTTTCCATTCAAGACTGCTTGTTGAAACCATTTGCCGACATCATAAAGTTCGAGGACTGGACACTGTGGACCCCTCCGCGCGCTCGTGTTTATTAAATTTACCGTTGTTTATTAAAGCTGACGTCGGTACCGCGGAGCTGCACGTGATAAGCTAGACAGTAGTAGTGATTTCACTAGAACGAGCGTTTATAAAGAGTAGTGAGCTAGTGGTGATTTCTGCTTTTAGCCGTGTTTACTTGTTTTGGAGTGCTGATTTGGTCATTTCATCACTAAAACGGCAAACCAAAGTTTGTGAACAGTGCCTACAGTGCCACAGCTTTAAATCCACAGATGAAGCAGTTAAGTGCCACGCTGACATTTAAGTGACCCTGTGAAAACATTGTATAATAAAGGCATTAACAATTGGGTAATTTCTCAGAGCCCACAGGCCTCACTATTCACTTTAAGTTCACCCAGTGACAGGTGTTTGTGTGTCATTGAGCGAAGGCAGGGGGAGACTACCAAGATCAAGTGTCGTTGTCGCAACCCTCACAAAAATAGTCAGGGGAAGATCACTGTGAGCGAGCGAGACAGCTCCCAGATCAAACCAGCGTCTGAAAAATCACTGAAGGCTGTTTGTTGCCTTGCTTAGCTCCTTTCCTTTCAAGCTTTAAAACTTGTGTGATTACACGGAGCTTACACATACCAGCAGAGTAATCCACGCAGGGTCAAGAATAATGATTAACAATGCGCTTTAGTGCTAGATGACAGCTTTTTGCAGTAGTTTAAAAAAAAGGTTCTTTTTTTTCATTTACAGACTTTATGACTGGTATCTTATGTACATCACTGTCCTTAATGTGTCATAATTAACTTCAGCTTTCTGTCTTTCAGGAAGCCATCAGAAATGTCTTTTCTATTTGATTGGATCTACAGGGGCTTCAGCAGTGTCTTGCAACTATTAGGTGTTGAAATAAATTTCCACATTTTCATCCATTATCATCCAATATTTGCCATTTATCTGAGGCTGAATTGTGGGTGTGGTAGGCTAAGTAGAGACCTCCCTCTCTCTTGCCTTTTCCGCCTGCTTTTCCAGAAAGGACTCTAAGGTGGCCTGAAGCCAGACAAGAAATGTAATCTCTTTAGCGTAACCTGGGTCTGCCCCTGGGTTTCCTGATAGAACATACCCTGAACACCTCACCTAGGACGCACCTGGGAGACATTCTGGTCAAATTTCTGAACCACCCCAAATGTCCTTTTTCAATATGGCGGTGTAGCAGCTCTACTCTGAGACACCTTTCGGAGGAAGCCAATTTCTGCCGAGTCTCGAGCTGAGTGTCATCCCAGCTGCTTCACACTCATCTGCAAACCGCTTCAGAGTAAGGTGGAGGTCATGGCTCTATGTTCAGATGAGATCCTGAGACCACCAAACCCTCCACCCCTTGGCTAGATATCCCATAAAAATAAGTCCATAAAAATCATTAACATGCCTGATAAGAAAGGGCAGCCCTAGTGGAGTCCAGTATCTGCATATAGCTGGCAATGGAAACCATCATACGAAGACCCTGTAACAACAAGGACCCAGTCCTCCTGTGCCCCCACCACAGGAAACCCAGAGAGAAGCAGCTAAATACCAAGTCTCAAGTCTCCAAGTCCAGTCTAAAGTCTATGTAAACTAGTTTGGTCCCACGCACGCACCCTCAAATATCCTTGAGAGGATATAAAGCACCAATATTGTTGTTTTACAAAATGGTAACTTGGAGGTAGTAACTAGACAGTTTGAAGTAAATTCGAGCCTGAATACTAACAAATATCCAGATTTTCACTTTGTTTTTGGCATTCGCTCTATTTCTATAAAACATATACCAACCAGTTCTCATGTAAATATGTCTTACAGATATTTCTATGACTATTCTGGCTCCCAGTTCTCCTGCCCAAGACTTCTTTTAAACCCATCAATTTGACTTCTTTCTGCTATCAGGGTTGTACAAGAAGACTGGGAAGATGGTTTTTCTTGGACTAGACAATGCTGGAAAAACAACGCTCCTGCAGATGCTCAGGGATGACAGGCTGGGACAGCACATGCCGACGCTATACCCAAGTAGATTTTTACTTGTCACATCAGGAATTAGCCATGTGTGTCTTGCTTCACTGCTTATCCTAAAATCAAACCTCTCTTCCCCAGCATCCGAGGAGCTGACAATAGCTGGAATGACTTTTACGACATTTGACCTTGGAGGTCATACGCAAGGTGGGAGTAAAAAAAAAAAGTGATTCTCAATCTTATTTTTGAGCTTTTTAAAATATTATTGATGTATTTGTTGAGGTGTTGCATAAAAATACTGAAAATGTGTGTCTTTACAGCACGAAGGATCTGGAAGAACTACTTCCCAGCCATAAACGGTATCGTGTACATGGTGGATTGTGCTGACCATATGCGACTAGCAGAAGCAAAAGTTGAACTGGATGTGAGTTATTTGTACTGATGTCAACACAGACAGCTGCCCATAGCTGCCACTGATAGGAATGATCTGTATGATATGTCTGATATGACACTTCTTTTGTGTAGGCCATGTTAACAGATGAAACAATTGCAAACATCCCCGTTCTAATCCTGGGCAATAAGATAGACCGTCCAGAGGCCATCAGTGAGGATGCACTCAGGGCAGTACTTGGTCTTCAGGGGCATACAACTGGAAAGGTTTGTACAAGAAATGTGGGATTAAATGATGATGTGACGTCTGGCAAGAGCATTAGAGTCATATGGTGTTGATATTTTCTAAATCATAAACTGTATTTAAAAGGTTAACGTAGCCTCTGGAAAAGTGAAACCTGTTCAAAGTACTTCAAATCTGCATTCTTTTTAATGGCCAGCAGGAGGCGACACCTCTGGTGGGAAAAAGCAGTCAGATTGTATAGACATAAATGAGAAAGTGCTGCTCACTTGATCTTTGACCTCACTAAATACTTTCCTGGTGTCTTTACAGTCTGAGTTCTCATTTCATAACTTACTGAATAGAACATGACGTTCTTTTGTAAAGTATGGTCCCTTTTGGAATAAAATACAAGATAAAGCTGGCTACGCTCTAGTAGCAGCTTAGTGTTTCGCAGTCAAATCTAACTTTTGCTTGTTAAATCCAGTTTAAAAAAAAAAAATAATAATCAAGATGTGGCAGCCAGAATGTCAAACTGAAGGCTTCAAAACAGCACTTAAAAGAAAATAAAAGGCGATGTCACAATGCCTATATCAATTTCTTACTGTGTGTACATGTTACTGTGTTGGAAAGACTAAAACAATCATAGCAACAGTACTTAGAGACAGTCTTCTTACTAGGCTTTTAAGACTTCAATAAATAGGACCGAGCTATTTGACATGGTGTGTTATCCTGCTGGAAGCTGCCGTCAGAAGCTGGGTATACTGTGGTCACAGTGGCTGCCCACTTACTTTTCAGGAGCCAGATCGCAGATGGGTGGACTCAGCAGTCAGCCAGCCAACAATATAAAATCTGGTGATGACCTGCTGAGTCTCAGTGTATGCATTGAGTGGTGATCACATTATAAATATATAGATATTTGGATTACTGAGCAGTTCAGGGATACCTAACAAATTGGCTGGTTAGTGTATGTGCATTCTTTTTAGTTGTCTGTGCAACAAGCCCAAATCGACCTTAAGAAGAAAAGACTTAAGGAAACCGCTGCCCCACAACGATATTTTACTGCAGTTAAATTTTTTGTATAAATCTGAGACATCATTTCTGGTTCAAGACCTAAGCGTCGGTTTATTGATCCATGCTGACGAGTCAGGGAAAACCTTTTCTAATAGAGCTTAAAGCACGGTTAAAGTTTAAGATGTGCGTTGTATTTGTTCAGTGTTCATGGGCAAGGTTGCTGGATGGAGTTGTAGATTTAAAGCTGTTCTTTTTGATGTGTATTTTTGTTTCTTTTCAGGGCAAAGTGCCGATGAAGGAGCTGAATTTGAGGCCAATGGAGGTGTTCATGTGCAGTGTGCTGAAGCGACAGGGATATGGAGACGGTTTTCGCTGGCTTGCCCAGTATATCGATTGATTGACATTTTTATAATAGCCTTAACCAGATTTGTTCCACACAAAACTACCTGCAGTAGAGAGATTTTATTAAATATGCTAGTACAAAATATGTTTTGTATTTAAAAGCCCAGCATTATTCATCTGTTTGAAGAATCCTGTATTTTATCTCAGTCGTACCGCAGCAAGTCAAAGATAAGTTATGAATCATTGGCCTGTATTATTCAGACTGAGTGTGGAGAAAAGCTCCATGCTGTGGTTCTTCTACCTTTACCTAAAGCCTGTAGGGAATTGTTTCTGCCGTGTAGGACATGCCATGGCTGTGAACTTGTTTCAGACCCGGGTGTATTTTTGGCTGCTGGTGTTGGCTTACAGTGAAGGTCAGTGTAGTTAACACTGTGTGCTTAGAGCAGCTCTTCTTTGATTGAGGATGAAACATTTTTGTTGGCACGTATGCACATTATTTATTCTGTTTTATTTTTTTTCTTTCAATTGATCGTTTTCAAAAACAACTTTTTTTTTTTCCTAGAAAGTGCTGCAAAAATGTGTTGCTGTAATTGTTAAACTCAACTTGCAAGCCTACCTCGGAGGATGCTGACAGTTCTTGTGATAGTATGTTTATTTTAAGTTTTACATTTAGGTTTACAAACACGGCCACTAACATTAATGTTACTACAAGTGCACTGACTGACTTTTTGCCTATACTAGATATTTACGCCAGCCAAACACACGATAGGTGACTGCACTGAAAAGACTTGAGTACTTTGTGATTGGTTGCTGCTAACAGTACGCAGTGATTTATGAGAGTACTTGGGTGGTGATTAGCAAAAAAAGCTTATACAGTATTTTTGGATAAAATTATCTTAAAACATTATAAAATATTTTATAAGAGTGTATTTATATTTTGCAATAAAAAACTGGCCTGTCTGTTACTTCGCATTGTTAATGCTTGATATATCTCATACAAAAAAGATGTCATGTTCTTGTTGGGTGTGTTGTGCAATATTTTAGCAAAATAAATATATTTGGTAACTCTTTAAGCCTTGTTTAAGATATTTTAATTCATTTTTGGTTCATCCACCAAAGGAACATCCATCTATCTATTGATCCATTCACATTCACAACACTTATTAGTCCTCCTTGAACAGGAATGTCAAACTTATTGAGCTTTAGTGGGGTGGACCAGTGAAAGGCTCCTTTCTGTCAGTGTAAAGAACTACACACGTAATACTGTATAATTATGGAAGGTTCCTGTGGTGGAACTTCAAGGTTTCTGTTAGTTAATTGTTTTTCTATTACTTTGGTAATAAAGAGGTCTTTATTAGTGGGGACAGCTGTAAAACCTATAAAAATACAGTTAAAAATCTAAAATCCGAACCTTATGATATTGTGGAAGAATTTCTTAAATTTATGTATTATTCACATTATTTTATTGTATAATGCCTTTCTGCAACTAGATTTTAGCATGTCTCAGTGTCTCTCACACTCATACTCTGATGGTCGTCTGCCCCGTGATGATGGCTGCTCTCACCAAGCTTCGTTCTGTCTGTTTTTATTAAATCCAGTTCTAGAGCATTAAGGGCTAACACAGACAGACGACCCATCACATTCACATCGGTCAACTTAGAATCACCAATGATCCTAAATGAAAACTTTTGGGCTGCAAAAGTACCTGAGGAGAAAAATGCCTCACCTTTCACCTTTGATTTCCAGGTAAAGACCCCCCCCCCCACACACACACATACAAAACAAACAAAAACAAATCAGGTCAGTCCGATTAAAAATGTCTTTATGTCTTTTCCAAGTGTGATAGAATAGAAAGGATATTTTAAGTGACCCAAAAAGGACTGTATTGATTACACAGTAGAACACAGAGTCATAAACGGGCAAAAAAGTTTTTTATTTATTTTATATAAAACTCTATATCAAATGCAGTTGACTTCAGCCTATATGCTGATAACAGCAAAGATATTATACATAAAAACACACATAAAACATCGTAAAACGTAAATAAACTTCTAACCGGGATATAGGAACGCCCTCTAGTTTCCTTGTTTACCATTGGCTAGAAGGTGTTTGCTTTCAGACCAATCAGGTGCAGGAACGAAGCAGAACCAGGAAGTTGCGAACAGGGCGAAGAAGACACTGTGGGAAATATTCGCAATAAATAGTTTAAACTTAAGGTCACAGTGACTTATCTGAAGGTTCCTTCTCACTCCTGGCATGTACACATTTTTAATGAGCTGCTTTTTCGAGTGTTTTAAACGCCGTTAAAACATTTGTTGATTTGCTTTGCTAGAGCATGGAGTTAAAGGACGTGGAGAGGCGCTGCTGTGTTGTCAAGGTGTCAGAGGCGTCTTCGGCAAAGAAACCGGTGAGCTGCAGCGGAGTTGTTGTCCACCCTCGCACAGGAATCATCATATGCACCGGACTCCCGTTTTCACGTTTTATCATCGACGGAGACCCCCTCTACTGGGACCACGACTTCTTGCCACCTCACAGCTTCAGTGCCAAACTTCAAATCTGCGTCACCTTTCCAACTGACGCCAAGCAGAGCGCACGGAGAGCAACAATCACACCCACCAGAAGCAAAACAGCAGCAGGGCAGAGGGAGGCTGCAGCCGAGCTGCTGATGCTGGTGAACTGCGTGGAGTTTAAACACGCTTTCCAGGCAGTTTTCCAGGAGGCCGACCAGTGGCGTTTCCATTGTGATGAGGATGAGGAGCTGCTCAGAGATTTCCACTTCCTCAGCTGGTTTGCTGTACTCAGGGTAGGTGTGGTGCTAGGCAGCAGCCAGGATTCAGGCACCATCCCCTGGCAGAGCAGTGCGCCTCTCCAGAAGGGCTGCCCTGTTGTTGCCTGCGGCTCACCTTTTGGCTCCCTCTGCTTGGATCTCTTCATCAGCACCCTCAGCAGAGGCATCATCAGTAACCTTGCTGGAGAAGATAACGCTGTCATCCTCACAGACGCCCGCTGCCTGCCAGGCACAGAAGGTGGAGGGTTGTTTGTGGTGAAAGGTGCAGGCAGCGTGCATCTCATCGGGCTGATTGTGTCTCCATTTGGCTGGAAGGCCAATGAGTGGATTGGCCTCACTCTGGTCTGCTCTGCCCAGTTGGTCTTCAGGAATCTCATCAGCTGCCTGAGTGTCCAGGATCCCCTCAGAAATGTTTGGCTTCATCCAGGAGAGTCGGACATCCAGATGTCCACCGCTGCTCACGAGTCAAAAGCTGTTAAATACCCCACTGTTTGCTTTGTGGACAGCGGGCAGTTCTGGGGTTCAGGGGTTGTTGTCGGCTCTCGACTGGTTGTGACATGCAGGCATGTTGTCAACAGGAAGTCTAAAGTCCGCTTGAAGTTCCACCATAGGGACAGGTGATGGCACATTTACTATCTTAAACCCCCTCCTAATTGAAGCAGAAATTAATTCAAACCTTATTAAACACTAAAATGTGTTAATCCACTAATCTTAGTCTTCTTTTCAAACCTAACACAGTTTTGGGTAGGAAAAAAAACCAAGCATAAACAAGTACTAGGAACTTGCCTGCAGATTGACCTGGTTTGGATGAGAGAAAATCAAAAATATATTCAAACTTCTGCATCAAATTCTTGATTTTTAACGCCATTAAAGATGTATTCGGTACTATTATTCCAGCCTGGAAAAAAATGAGTGCAATTTATAGGCAGTAATAAACTTCTGAATGTATGGACAGTCCTATAAGCTGACATGGACTTGCTGCATCAAAGACAAAGTTAAATTCACACTTGCTTTCTGTATGGATCTACACCATATGGGATTATGGTCTTTTCCTGTTTATTTAGCAACTTCACCACATTTTGGAAGTATGTTTTGTGATCACAGAATGTGTAAGACTAATAATCCTCACTTTTGGCGATTTTCTTTTCTCAGAGTCCATGATTCAGTGGGTGATGTCCTTTTTTCCACTAAAGCATCTTCACCCTATGACCTCGCTTTGGTGCAGCTCAGAGATGCTGTCCCAGAAGCTGTGGTCTCACGGATGTGTCAGAGTTTCATTCCAGGTTTGATTTCAGTCTTGTGCAGCAGAAACAGTAGAATTATTGTTATTTTTTTATAAGCAGTTCCAGAAGAGAGTTCCTGCTTCTTTACGCTTAAAAACCGTTATGGCCTTTTCTAACTTCAGGTGAATCTGTAGTTGTCGTCGGATACGGTGGGCTGGGTCGGAGCTGCGGTCCGTCCCTGACCTGCGGCGTCCTGTCCAAAGCCATTAGCTGGAATTGCCAGCCTGTCATGCTCCAGACCACATGTGCAGTACAAGCGGGAACCAGCGGGGGTGCTGTGGTGCAGAGATGCTCAGGAGAGCTGCTGGGTAAGGAGGTCCTGCAGGAAGAAAGCCATGTGCACCTTTTGAACAGAGGGGGGCACATGATAACCACAGAAAACGTCTCTGTGCAGGGAAAAGTCAGCTGTGCTTATATCAGTGGTTCAGTCAGCACTGCTGTGGCTTTGAATTCACAAAAAAATGTTTCTTTGTTGTGTTGCAGGGATCGTTTCCAGCAACACGCGAGACATGGCCACTAAAGTGACTTACCCACATCTGAACTTCAGCGTCCCAGTGACTGTTTTCCAGAGATTGTTGCAGCACTTTGAGCAGACAAAGGATGTTAATGTATTCAGGGAGCTGGACAGTACAGAAAAAGAAATCAGGAGGGTGTGGAGACTACAAGGTGCTCAGAGCAAACTGTAACCGAGGACCCCTGCACTACACTGACACGTGGTACAGATGACAAATCAGAATGAATTAGATGAGACATTTGCAACTGAAGGAATAATTACTGCTTAATTGTCATCTCAGAGTCATGTGGTTAACCAGAAAATCTTTATAAGGGTACTAATGTTTACAGGCACTTTAAGTACATTTATACCTGTTTAATTGCACAATAATTACATTTAATTAATTTTTTTTCAGCTAATGTTTAGTGTTTTCTTGGTGTGCTGCTGGATTCCCAAGGTTATAAAACACATTTATCCATTTATAAAATAAAATAAAAAAGATTACGTAAACTGCTGGGATAAAAAAAGTGAATCATCCAACTTTTGATCCTTATTTATGTTACAGTTACAGCATCAAAGACACATTTCTCAGAGCATGTGTTAGGATTTACACCTGCGTCTGGTGCATACAGTTTGTTTTTTTTACCAGGCGGGGAGGAATATTCAGCATAATAGGCTGACAGGCTGCTGAAAATGATTGGTCCCTTTGGGTAGCCAGAGGACTGCTGTCGGTTTCAGGTATTCAGACATCTGTTGGCAGACGTACCCACTCACAGTGAACACATTTGAGGTTTCACCCACTGGGAAGCTACTGGTTCTTATTTCCATTATCACAGAAACGTGAAACTGAGAAATGACATTTCAGAGAATTGGTTGCTGTCAGTTTTTACAATGCTAAGACGAGCTTTCTGGGCCTGAACTCCTGAGGATGTGCATACGCTCTAACATGCTGAAAGGTTTCTATTTCACTGTTCCCAGGCTGAATAGTTCACAGTGGAGTTTTCGGCAGTGTCCCGAGGAGGCCGAGGAGAGAGTTTTCTAAAGGTATTGTGCTGTTCGAAGTGCTGATATGCAGACTTGTGTCTGTATCTCATTTCTGCTGGTTTCTCATAGCTACAAGCCACACTTCACTGCAGAATGAGGTGCAGTAGGGGTAGAAATGAGCTGAGAAGAACACTGAATCCTTAAGGAGCATTTCGCACAGAGACGCATATGTTGTTTTTTTTTAAATAGCATCTAATTATAGGTGCAGTGTTCGTCCATGCTGCACTGCTCATTAAAATGAGGCAAATATATAGATTTTAATTTGCTATCTGTAATCACAAATATGGCTAGCCTGTCTGTGCACCAGTAACCAACTTTGCTGGAGGGGAATTTTTATTTTAGAAGATGTAGTAATATTCTGAACAGTTTACACACTACTGGAAAAACTCAAAGGAGCACTTTTAATTAAGAGTATAGCATCAAGTCAGTTAAACTTCTGGGATCTTGATCTGGTCAGTTAAGTAG